ATGTATATTTGTATATGTATGTATGTATATATGTATGTGTGTGTGTGTGTGCGTGCGTGTGTGTGTGTGTGTTTATAGTCACAATATGCAACTTCATCTCATATATTGACAACCCTATATAAGCACATGTATATACTGGTATGCCCTAGCTTTAGCTGTCACTTTCTGAAAAATAAAAGCTTGATTGTAGAATACCGGTGGAGCAGACGCCAAATTAAACGTATCTCCTGTAGGCTGAAATGATTGTGGCATCGCGGTAAAAATCAATCCCCAAGTGAAGTTTATTTCGTTATATATAGTACGATGAATGACTTTACCATATACACAGTTGCTTTTATATATTGCAGCACACATTCATACAGAGCAATGGATCGGTGAAGTACTCATGGTGTGATACAGAGTTTAAATTTTAACAAGCAATGAGCTCTGAGTCGCTGAACCTTATGTTCCCCCATTATTCTGAGTTTAGACCGATACGTCTATAAACCCAAGAGACGTCCCATTGTTCTGAGTTCTGACCGGTATGTCTATAAACCCAAGAGACCTATCACCAAATAGCAATTCTTCCAATCTCTTATCAATGAGTCATGATGAGTCATGATGAGTCATCGATCAAAAGTCAAAACCCTAAGCTTGTGTTTATTTGTGTATTGGCTACCCCAATCGGATCATGAGATTCATGATATGTAGACAAAAACCTTCTACTATATTAGAGATTCGTGATCCTCTGGAAAATATTTCTTGAACTTTCTCCGTTTCTCCTCAGGAGACTTTGGGGGAGATATCATATGGCCCTCTAATGTTGTCTCTTATAAATGATTTTCGTCTTGGGGCATCGCCTTCTAAATTAAACAGGAGAATCAAGTTTTCATCCAGCGACAACTTCGAAAAGGCCGTGGATATCAGTTAATAATTATATTCACCAGCGATCACTAACCATATCGCGGATACGATACATATGTGAATATGAATATACTTTATGTATTGATATGTACCATGTATTTATGAGGAAGATAATCTTTGCTCAAGGGTCTGCTATGAGGATATAGACTTTATATCTCTTAGCCCACTTCTAATATAGTGTTTAAAAATCTTTCGCAAGTACTTGTCACAAGCAAACTTTTATTTTCACAAAATCTATAAAATAATGGTATGTATCTATCTACTGTATATTGTGCTGAGCTACGTCAGCACTGATTGAGTGAAAGGATCAAGCTTCGCCTATAGATCTCCTGCTGCGTCCATTTTAAATTTTGTTGTTACGTTTAGTTCTCTTCCATTTAAATCTTTTTTCCTACAGTCTTCTCTAGCATTGATGTACGTGATTGTTGTTTTAATAGATACTCCGCATTACGATTTAATTTGTTTTAAGGTTTAGCTTCTTATGTTCAGAAACTTATAACCCTCCCCTTCGAATATAAACCATAACTCGTCTCAGTATTTTATTTATAGCAGTTTCATTATGGCCTTCGCAACTTCCTCGGATGATCCCTGCGAACGACAAACAGTGTGTATAAACATTAACGTAATCAAATACTATGTATGTGTTACATTCTTTAAGATACAGTATTGCAAACCTTCCACTCACCCGGGCACAGACCAAAAAAGACCGAAAAGAACATACACTAACCAGACATACAGCCAACATATCATGCTGATCTCAATACGGACGCAGCAAATCGAGGTGAGTATGAGATGCACCATTTGAAACAGCCGAATGCCAAAAGTAAATAAAGCAAGCAGCTACTTACAGGGTTCTGTCCGGTGATCAGCTTGCCATCTACAACCACGTGCGAGCCCCAATCGTCTCCTTTGCTGTAGTTACCTCCGTTTGCCTTCAATTTATCCTCGAGTAGGTAGGGCATGACCTATGCAGCAGGTTAAGACATACAGTGAGGACGAAGGCAGAATCAAGTACCCAAAAGAGAAAGTACAGCGTGTGTGCGCCACTAAATCACAGCACAATGATACCGAAATCGGACAGTGACGCCTGGCTGATTCACCACTAGAACGTACCTTTGTTAGACCGACAGCTTCCTCTTCGGTGTTGCTGAACCCCGTCACGTTCTTGCCTTGGATTACTGAGGTGTTCACAAACACTACCGGACCATGACACACGGATGCAACCACTTTGTCGGCCTGGGCAAACGCTTCGATCAGCGCAATGGAGGTCTTATCATCCGCAAGATCCCACACAGGTCCGTGTCTGTATAGTTTAAACAAGTAAGCTGTCAGACGATGCAAAATATAGTTCACAGACAACCTTGCTATCACATACATAGATTGCGTACATCATCACTACGATACTCGATACGAAATATGTTCACAGGCAACCTTGTTATCGCATGCATAGTTTGCGTTCATCATCACTACGATACTCACTACAACAATATACACGCGCCCAGCCCTCGTATATCCACGCTCACTAGTAATCCCGACAATAGACCATCTCCCAAAAAGTACATACCCTCCAGGGTAGAACACCGCGTCATAGTCACTGACAGATACGTCACTCAGCTTCTTAGGCGAATTGAATTTTTTCTGTCCCTCCTCATCCTCATCCCATACGGCAGTGAGTTTGGTGAGGAAGTTTTCGGCTTTGGAGCCTTCGTCAACTGGTGCAGCTTCACCTGTAGGTGGTATAACAAGATGGACAGCAAAATTTGAATCCGGATTCAACATATGAATCTAACTATAACCTTCTATATTCTTCTATAAAAGGCTACGTGTGAACCACTTATATCTATACATACTTTACGTAATAGTTCTACATTAATTGCATGCATCTATAAACATCTATAAACTCCACATCCCATCTAAAAAAATCAACCTCAAGAGTACATAAGTATTGTTGATTAATATACAGCTACGTGCGTATCTTCCAAAGTATAGTTTATATCGCGTATGGTGAAAATCGTAAATGTAATACGTATATTTCATATACACAAACGAGTTTTGAAATTGCGCGAATATATAAATGCATTCAAAGATGACACAGACAAGCCACTACATACATATCGTAGGCTATTTATCTGCAGCCTTACGCAGTATTTATATGTATTTATAGTCCATACTTCCACATAACCCTATGTACGAGATTCATAAGCGCAAACATACACAGAGTGAGTACATACCAGAGGGAGTGCAGAAGGTGACTGAATGCCCAGCTTCCGTCAACAATTCATATGGAGCGGCAAATTCTGATAAAAAAAAGATAAATGAAGCGACGCGTGAGGAATATGAATTCGTCTCCGATATAGGACATATGCTCGTACACACGACAATACAAGGTACGTGTTCACTTTATGGATTTGAATGTGACAGCAGCAATCAGTAGTTGATCGACCGAGCATGCGTTTAAATATTTGCACGTACATAAGTGCTCCACATCGATCAGTGATTGAAAAACTACAGCTAAGCCTATTAAGAACGTTAGAAGCTACATTCATACAATTGTTGTTGAAGCTGCTCAACGAATCTGGTGATTACACTTAATCAATAGTCAGATACCTGTACGCACGCAAGGCTGATGTCGTTCAGTTATGAAAAATGAGATACACGCCTGTTATATTGAAATTATTATGTATTCAACAGCCAGGACATAGATATCTTATTATACATTCAGGACCTGGATATCTTATAATACATTCAGCACATAAATATCTTATTATACATTCAGCACATAGATGTCTTTCACTGCTAAGCCATTCAGGACTTGGGCGTCAAAATGCAATCATCAGTCGGATAAATTATGCACTTACCCTCCAACCAGGAACCAGTCTTCTTCCCAGTATCTCCGAGTTTGTCATTAGACGTCAATACGAACAGAATACTCTTCCCCATGGTTGCTTATTATGTATGTATATATGTATTGAAATATAATTATTTTGCTGTTAGCATTGAGGTGTTTGTCTACGTGCACATTAATTATATATATTTCTATTTTTTTTATGTGCATCATATTTTATGTATTTGTTGATGTCACGTAAAAGTTGGTGTCCAAATAATGAATAAAAAATGATAATCGGTCATAGATGTCAGATGTCACTTGTCACACTATGTTCAGCCTATAATTCCGTCCAAATCCAACACACTCTACTACCTGACACACTGCCCACCTGACACTTGGCACTTGTAACTTGACAGCTATCTCTCACATTTCCGTATTAGGGTACACTGGGTGCGCGGCAAATATTGTCAGTCTATATTTATTTTTTATACTGTACACCGACACTATGGATAGCAATACGCAGCCTCAGCTTTCCACGACGGACTCTTCGACGACAGGCAATGATATAGAAATGGCTGACATCGTCAAAGAGGAGAGCCCTGTAGTATTGACCGATGATGAAAAATGTTAGGACCAATGAGGATGACGCTCTTCAACCCACAAGGACTCAACATGGACAACGCAGCACATACAGATAAGTGTTTGAACGGTATATCGATTTTAAGTCAGGTTGATGTTATGTGTGTGGTTGAAACCTGGCATAACACCACATTTCTTAATCATATACGCTCGAACACGCGCTATCATATACTACATCACACTACACGGCATAATATCTTACACCCTTCACACTGTGGTATTGGTATCTTTTCCAAACACCACCCATCGAATTTTCAACTTGTACACTCTTCACCGTACGCGGTGTTCTTTGTGTGCTTTGGCGTTCATATGGCCGTGTTCTACTTTCCACTCAAATCGCTTACTGAAGAAGACGTCAGGCGATACATGAATCCCCCCGAGATTGGCGGTTTACAACCAGATGTCGTGTGGGGAGATTTCAACTTTAAAGCCCGGAAGTATGGCCACGCATCTACAAATCACGGACTACGTATGAAAACGATTGAAACTATTATGCGTAAGACGTGGCACTTGGACTACCTCTATGCTGGCGGCTCAACTGGTACTGAACATGCGTATCATCGACCTACCACCCCCGCCTCCCTCCAAACTTATAAGCTGACGGACTACAGTATCTGTGGTGACCACACCTTTGGACTCGATCTCCAGATACTTCCCACGAATCAAATCCATCGGCCCCAACAAATGCCAGCAATACCGCCGCCTCCGGACCAACGCCTCCCCTCCCATGGATATAACCGATATCGCCATCGTCTGTATCACCTACGCAACAAATCCCGTGCGCGATTATTCCAAGCCGAAATCCGGGCGCATCAGAACCTACTACGGTCGTATCTCACTTTACATGGACCAGCGGAAGGTCTGCTACGAATCCTCGACCGCATCTGGCGCTATGCCACTAACCCACAAATCTTTGGAGGGTTATATTATGACTTAAACAGACCTTGGGTTCAGCGGCTGCCAAACCACTCGTTCCGCCCACGTCTGACCGCCTAAAGCAATGCTCAAATGTTCAAAGATATTTAAAAATCGGTCTCCGCGCCAACCCTGCATACCGGGTACCGATGACACAGGCGCTACCCTCGCTGGCTACTTTGAGGCCCTATTCAACTCTACAAACCCGTACGTGGTTCCACCGGATACCAAACCCTCTCCTGATGTCACTTCCACCATACGCCCCGACGATGTAATGGA